AAAAGTGGGTTATGCGAATACGTTCTAATGTGAAAATTATAAAGTATGCATCGGTTTAAACAAAGCCTATTAGTTGAAACAGAAGATTCGTGTTGCCGGAAGGCTGTTGTAAGTTGGTAAACAATCTCGATTTCCATTCATTCTATTGGACGACTAATTAAGCAAGGGTTTGCTAACAAACAATAATAGTTGATCAATATATTAGTTCCATTTGAATTATTTTAATTGGAGCAAAGAAAAGTAACAGTTTTAGTAATACTAATTGGACTTTTAACAGTTTTAAMMGTAATTGGATTTTTTAGCAATTTTAAAAGTAATTACAATTTTTAAGGCAAATCATACCAGTGTTATGATAAAGAAATAGCTACAAACAAACGATCATATCGGCTACCTACCGACTGTATATGCACRTTGTAGTATCGAAGGCTTCTCTAGCGAGGAACGTATCTTTGTGAGGATCTTGTAATGAGCACTTTAAGCGTACAAGTCTAGTAGTCACGTGATTAGAACTCTCAATAAAAGTTTCCTTTTTTTCTTTTATCTTTGGGCAGAAGTGGCTTCCTGGTCTTGGAGCACCACCATTGTTTGAGCTGATAAGAAATATATTTGAACAATTTTAGTTTGAACCAAACGTTGGCCTGAAACATTGTTTGAGTTTCTTCAGCGTATGTTGTCAATTCCTACTTTTGTATTGAATTATCCTTTTTCATCCGTATCTACCGTTATTTCGGACTTTCTTCTAAGAATCTCGATAAACATGCGTAAAAAGTAACATTTTCACGTTATTTTTCTCAGTTATTATTAAAGATGGAATTTCTGTTCCTTATCTTACTCTTAGTTTCTTACCTTATTTTATGTGCATAAAAACCAGAAAATAAAAGTAGAAATATCCAAACTTTCATCGTTTAGATAGGTGGAACCAAGCTGTGACCAATACAATCAAGTCGTGATTACTGATAAAAGTAGTATAAGATGATCGTTAACTTCGGCATGAGCAATGTCAATACTTGTTACACAAATTTACCCCTTTTCGCAAATTAGCCAATAATGGCTGATTGTTGTCACGTGAGCAAACACTGATATTACGTTGTACTGACACACAGGAAGCGGCGGAAGAGTTATGATTACAATGAGTATATGAATTCGTTGGATATCAATAACTAGTTATAGCGCATYGATAGCTGCAATTGTAATAACAAAGAGTAACTAACAAACAACGTATCTAACAAGCAAATAATATTGCAGGTGCATGAATATAACAAATATATATTTTTTCTTATACAATTGGAGAAATARACATATAAAACTTCTTTTTTGCTTTGTTTGCGCATGCTTTGCTTTTGTTTCTTTTGATATTATTAAATGCATGATAAATAGCATGTTTAATTGTACACTGAACACGTAATAACATTCACTAGCAATCATGTATTGCATCAGTTTCTGACTGGTCGTAATGTAGATGGACGGCGGTCTTGATACTTTGATATCGCTCGTACATTTTGTTGCTTTGATCATCTTGAGGAACACTATCTTCGTGGTCTAGGGTCTAGATGCGGGATGGTTGTCGACGCTTCGCGACTCTAGGGGAGGGGGTTATTTCACCTCTCCTTCCCCTCCCACCTCCCCTAGAGCCGATACGCACCTACAATGGTGAAGGTACCTTTTTCTGTTATCCTTCACGAGTTTGTAAAGTTTCTTATGATTGGAGGAATAAAACAATCAATGCTCATATTGTTTCCTCGTTAGTAAATCCTATTGTTTTCTTTTAATTATACAAATAACTAGTAAACCAATCGGATAAGATGTTGCAAAAACGTGCAAAAAAAGTGTATCCAACTTTTTTAAGGTTAAAATCTCTCAGGTCGAGAAATTTCATTTGTTTTTATCCTCCAAGGAAAAGAGGGTAAAAGATTTGTCCTCCTCATKTGAACCGACCCCTTATTTAACACATGTACAAAGGCTTCGTTTCTTGTTTGAAGACTTTAGACTGTCAGTCAGAGCAGCCTGCTGTTAGAAGGAGACTTAAAATGGTTGTTAAAAAGATTAATCACACCAAGAGAAATTGTAATTACCTTTATGTCAGAATAAAGTAAACAACCAGAAGAACTCCATCAATAATCGTGAGAAACAATCACTGATGATACAACCCGTCTTGCTTCGCAGGAAGATTTCATCTGATGTGGTCAGCCCGGACGTAAGTAAACTGATTTCCAAACTGCATTTTTTTAGAAAATATTCAGAATCGCATTGTCGGCTCGGACTTTTTATCGCTTTACTGTAAGAAGATATTACTGCAGTTAGTGCTATTCTCAGTAAAGTTGCATAAATCAAAGATTTCTTTCACTAAGTAATTTGAAGTCTACAAAATGTATTGAAATACTTCTATAGGCAACATAAAGAACTAATTATAGGACTTTTATGCGACATAAAATTATTAAAATACATAAAAAAAACATTACAGGTCACTTCAGAATTTATTATTTTAGCTTTCATGCTAGATATTAATGTCGATGACAACTGTTACGATTCTGGGCGCTATGATCCGGTCATATGAAGTTTATATGTTTTATTTTGTGATCGGCTACTAATAATCTGTAGGTTACCCAAGACTCAGAGAATGATATTCTTTCTTCAACATAACACACAGTCTAGGAACTAATCTAAACGTAAAAAAGCTCCAATTGTAGATATGATATAGATAACCGTGCACCATCTCGTCCATCTCTATTTCTTGCGAGATAATTTACATCTCAAAGATTTCGAGTGTGCATATATGCATGCTAATGTAACCTTAATTAATCAAATGCTTCCCGTCAACATATCATGGCTTATCATCTTTGTCCACTCCACTTCTCTTGTCAAGTTGTAATGAGCAAAAGATGTGAGTCATTGGACCCGAGTGTGCAATAGGACCACAGTCGTGTATTCGTTAAAAACATGATACCATGTATTTTATAGAATCAAGGTAAATCAATGGCATTTTTACATAGAGCCTCATGTAGACAAGTTTATAGGTATCACACCTAGTAGATCCGATCATTATAATGATTGCATAGTTTGCTGGATCTTAATATGGGCCGGTATCGTTCGAAATGCACCTTCGAATAATACAGTACCTAATACGCTTTTTAAAATGATGCAATCAGTAAAAACAACTACATTTCTCACTTTCGAAAAGTTGTTATTTTCACTAGTTCAAATACATGTAATTTATAAACGGTAGACCTGGCTGATAGATATTTTGAGAAATTCTGGCCTTGAGTTTAGGCCATATACCTGATACAGAATCCCTCACAAAACTCGCTCCATGGTTTCATAGTTTTTATGTAAACCACCATTGTTTTACAATTTACATTCTTATGTCGATAGCTAAACTTAAAACCGACGTCTAGTTATCAAACATAACGCTTTTTCAAATATCCATGCTCACTTTGTACTGCGCTATAGTGTCAGCATTTTAATCGAAAAGTACTGCGCTATAGTGGCAGCATTTTCTCGAAAACTGATCGTGAATGCTCTATTCCTTATTTTGACCATGCAGCCATAGTATATGCAGTTAGTAAATATTTGCTGTTTCAGAACATAAAATAAAAGACAAGAATTAGTGACAGTGAAAGTGTAAAATATGCAACACAGTTGACTAGTGGTTTCTTTATCAAGTAAGTGGAAATGATTATTTTAGCCAAACCAAACAGTCCAACTGCATGTTTGCAGCTAACAAAGTAAAGATAAATAAATTGATGTGTGATTGTTTGCAGACTAGGAACACCTGAGGCAATATGGTTTACTTGCCTTTGATAGTCATCTACGTTTTAGCTTCTGTTAGAACAACGGACGCCAAATATGGTAAGTAATCTGATTTTCAGATATAATAAAAATCAGGCGAAAAAATGAGATGCACCATAATATTTCACAATAGAATGATATTTTTTTCAAACATGACATAGAATTTATAAAAATAAGCCTCGACCTCTCTGATAGAGTCCGGTAGTAAGGGGTCTTATGTACTTTCCTTAAATTCATCTCATGCATCCTCGCTTTTGAAATTTTGGAGATCTTTTAGTCTACTGACTATGGGTCTTTGGTCAGATTTCATAACTTTTTCTTTTGATTATTTTCAGAAAACTCATTTTTCAGGGACAGCAAATCATCAAGTGTTTTATCTACGATTTTTAAGAATGCAAAGGAACATCAAGGTTTGTTGATATATTATACGCTCGTTATCGCTGATAGACATGCATATAGGTTGATAACGTCAGGCTACTGACATAGAAATAAACAGCGTCGAGTTCGGCAGATAAACAGAGGACTATAGCATCTGATAAGAGAGACAACAGTCAAATTCAGTAGGGACCCCATTCATGATTGGAACCGGTGGTGGCTGCTGGGATATAATACCCTCGTCCMAATCGGTAAACACAAAAATGTCACAACTGCCTGTATGTAGCAAAAATACAGAGCTTATAAAGCACTGAGCTACGTGGTACTGCACTTGAATAATTTGCAATTATTTTTTGAAAAAGATATTGTCTTGGACTTGCCCCTTGCTCGTGTAAATGACATTGCCGCAKTATTGTAGTCGGCGTCACGTGTTTGAACTGACCGTCAGTTTGAAGTCGAGATCCCCACTAGGTTGGTATTGGTAACATCATTTCTCTTTTCCAGGCTCTCTTCTGCCTTCCCGCAATGACCTTGTTTTAATTCTGGACTCATCTGCGGCAGTTGGTGATCAGCAGGTTTTCGCATCTTCACGGAAATTTGCGCATGGTGTTGTCAGGGAATTCAGTGTCTCACCATCTACGACCAGAGTTAGTCTTATTCTCTGCTCGTCAAAGCCTTATTTACAGTTTGGACTTGATAAATTTGTTAACAAGGAATGTACTCTGAAGGCTATTAAGAATGCCAGGTAAAAAATGGCTTATTACTTCCCATCTCTTGAACTTCCCATGAAATGCTAACTATGTAGGAGATACAATTTTGTAATTCACTTTGAATCAACTTATACTGCACTAGTTAGAAAATATCCATTTATAATCAAACAATTAAGTCTACAATTCTTTTGCAGTCCTTCTTCCGATCAGCATTGTGATCTGGGGTTGTCATTAAAACAAGCCTATCGATTGATTCTACGATCGAGAAAACAGAGATCTGCAATACATAGGCCAAGACCAATCGTACTTATTATCAATGCAAGCCCACACTACAAACAAACGGCGAAAATAGCGCAAACATTACGTGGTAGCAGAGTTGAAATCTTTCTAATAACTGTTGGTATCCCTGTACTTGATGCTAAGATAAGAGCATTGATTAGCCATCCTGTCAATCAACATCATCTCCATGTGACACATGTCAATCAACTTGATAACTATGCTGAGATAGTTCAAAATCAAGGTTCGTTTTATAGTAKTTTATATTATTCTTACTGCGAATTTTCTTTTATCCTGTTATATTCCTTGTAGATAAATGACCTGAAATCAAAAACCGATTAAAGGCATTTAACCACGCCCATCAACGGAAAGCCTTCGGTTGCTGTCATTGACTAAATATCACGATGTTTTGTAAATAAGGACAATACACACCCTATCTACTGTTTTCTCTATAATTCTCCAAATCCGACCATTYGAAAGGTCTTTATCAGTCTAAATCTTGTTGGTCACCATGMAGTTGTTATTTTGGTGTGAACTGATCAATATATCGTTTAATTTAAGGATTGAAGCGAACGTGCCATGGCAAAGCCACTGCATTCGATGAGTGTGATCGTCGCTGTCAGTGTTCTAACAGTCAAATGGTGAACTGTCATCGTGTAAGGAAGGACTTCCAATCCATGTCTTTGGCAGAACGTCGTCGATATATTAAAGTTCTAAAGACAGCCTCTACTGCAAAGCCATACAAGCGAATCTACGATGAAATAACAAGCTACCATCCCAGATGGTTTGATGATGTTCATAAAGTCGAGTACTTCTTTCCTTGGCATCGCTGGTATATCCTTAAATTTGAGAACTTTCTTCGTCAAATCGATTGCCGAGTCATTGTACCTTATTGGGACTGGATCCAAGCCGTAAGTGATAAACGCCTGTGGAGAACTAAACACTACTTTGACATCTGGTATCCAGGACCTCATGGATTGGGGGGAAATGGCGAGGGACCTGATCAGTGCGTCCCCAATGGACCATTTGGTGCAGGACATTGGATTCCTTCGCTACAGTTCAATATGACCTGTCTAACACGTGAATTCAACGGTTGCTGGGAAAACCGTTTGCCAAAAGTGGCAGATAGAGACAAATTGCTGCAGCTTCCTGTGGAAGATTTTGAAAACTTTGAAGGAAACGTAAGAGAATGGCTTCACGACAATTTTCATATGGCTATCGGTGGAATAATGTCTCTCGATGCTTCATCAAACGCGCCTGAATTCTGGTTCCACCATGCGTTCCTGGACAAGATATGGACTGACTGGCAGAAACGTGGTTACGAATTCAAACATCAATATTATCATAATGTAAAAACTAGTTTACCAGGAGCTAAAGTTAATGGGAAAATGTTTACTGACCAATCCAAACAGCCAGCGTGTGTGAAAGTTGACTACGCGGAGCATCCAAAACCATTTGAATTCCCAGAAGATAAATTTAATCATAAAATAAAGCATCCGACACTAGTACAAACTTGTGATGATGATGATGACATCGATGATAATGTCACCAAATAAAATCACCCTATTACGTACTATGATGTTCATAGATGTGGTTGTTGCCCGTAGTCGTCAAATCATACTAGTGACTTAGGGTTAGTTGATCAATGGAATGACAGAGTTAGGTCGCAGCTTCTAGAAAGTCGTCTCTGATTGGTTAATTCAAATTTTCTATTGTTTTCAATTCTTAAATTTTTATACGATCTGCGAGATATCCGGAATGACGAATGTGATAGCAATGAATGCCAAGGGATATAGACACTGCATTTGAGCACTGTCAGCTGAGTAGAGTACCAGACCACCTTTTTGCCCCTCAGGATTTTGTATACTAGGACCTAGCATTTCCCCTTAATTTTTGAAGACGAAGCAAAGCGAAAGTGCTTACATACATATACGTTCTAAGATCACCCTCTTAACATTGTTTTTTTTTTTCATAATGCATTACAAAAGTCTGGGAATGGGAATCGAATGATTGGAATMACGGTCGAACTGGGAAGACATCAAGACGAGGGTTAAGATCCTGAGTGATCTGGGATCGGAAATTTCTTATTCCTATGAAATTCCATTATCATAGAATTTTTGTTATACCATATCAGAAAACTGTAAATTGATGTTTTGGTGTTCGTAGACGCTTTGCCATTGTCTCGAACGGAAGGTTTTCAAAGTACATATAAAATACGGTACACAGTGTGAAAGATCCATGAAGTACCAAGCCTTGAGGAAACCGCTGATCAAAGATGTCGTCTGCTCACTCGCATACTAACAACAAGCGCTGCACAGTGTGCGAACGAAAAATCTTACAAATGTTGTGGTCATTTGCTTAGTATATAAGGTTTTAATTTGCCCTTACAGTAATGTTTAACAAAGGTGGTCAAGGAAGGTCGAGAGGATTTGGTTTCGGGGGGTTTTCTCTGGCAAGCAAAAAAGAAGCAAATGTTACTCCCAACACTTCTGGATTACTGAAAGGTCGTGGTCAAAAACATAAAAGTACCTCAGCCAGACAACATCAAGGTAGTTCAGGACAGSCCCAACACGACAAACGATGGCTGTAAGTATACATACACCAYATAGTATAAAACAAGTCGGTAGGTAACAGTGAACTATTTCCAGAAAACCAATGGATGATGATGATTTTGACACATTTGATGAGAAGCAATTTGATGACAGCGATGATGATACTGGTCATCAATCTATGGCTACCAATGATGATGAAGAAGATGAACTTGATTTGTTCATGAAAGGAATTGAGGTCAGTATATTCAAGAATTGAATTTTTATAATTAGTTTTATCATACTACTCAATCTCATGTCAGTTGAAATTCCTGTTGGATTCTCTCAATTTAGACTAACATATTTAATAATCTGCAGAAAGAAGTTAAATTAGAGGAAAGCAAAAGTGAGCAACAAAGGGCAGAAGAAGAGAAAAAAAAGTAACTATAAAGTTTCTTGTATGATTACATCTCATATGTCCATGGTTACCAGAGTGTTTTATTTGCTTTATTAATTAATTGTTGTGTGAATGTTAAATCAATCATTAATCATTGTCAAACTATCAAGAGTGCAGCGCCAGGATATTGAAGAAGAAGATGATCAAGAATCATACTTCAATTACATTAAAAATGCACCTGTCCAGGCATACCCAGATGATGAAGAAATAGACATTGAATATGACAGTGATGGGAATCCTATTGTCCCAGAGAAGTCAAAGGTACGTCAATCTCATAATATGTTAAATACAAAATTGCATAACTATAACATGAATGTAATGGCAACCAATGACAATAATATTGACTGTGATCAATTGTGATCAATATGTTTATCCATTCAAGCAAAAACGTTTTAGGCTTGTGCAATAACAGTTTGTCTACACTGTATTTTTTTCATATCATATCTGACAGCATTGCCATGTAGTCATATCACTACTAATTGTTAGTTTAATGTTGTTACACAGATTATTGAACCACTGCCAAGAGTAGATCACTCTGAGGTATAGTTTACTACATATTTGTGTTAGATATGAAGGTCTAGTCATTTAGAAGTTGGACATAGGTAGGATTCCCCGAGCAACCAATCACGTTGTTTCCTTAGGCAAGACACTTTACTCCATCTGTGATTCATCTTCTAAGAAAAAAATAGAGTTAAGAGGCCCCATCTCTTTACTCAGAAAGCAACAAACAGATGTAACAAAAATGCACAATACTATCAGATTGAGAATAGGGCACAAGTACCTGATGATGAGGTCAGGGCTAAAAAGAGGAAGAGATTTGGTTATAATAAATTGTTTGTGTGTATTTTCCAATGGTTTGTGATTTCCTTTTGTAGATTGATTACCCTTCATTTGAAAAAAACTTTTATAATGAGCATGATGAAATAGCAAAACTTCCTACCCCTGATGTGAATGAATTAAAGAAAAAACTTGGAATCAAAGTAAGTCTACTATCTGGTTCGTATAGTAACTGTGGTTTTCATCACCCTGATGAACCTATATGGCCATTTCCAAGATAAGTCATTGTTATATTTTGATTGTTTCCTTTAGGTTTCAGGTGCAATGCCAGCCAAGCCATGTACAAGCTTTGCTCATTTTGGTTTTGATGATCAGCTTATGACAGCAATAAGGAAGTCAGATTACACACAGCCAACTCCAATTCAATGTCAGGTATGTATACTTCTGTTTCTATTTTTTACAGACTATTTTAATTTGTTCAATATAACATTAGGAACTAATCAAGGAATAATTTTTTTATAATTATGTATCCTGTATTCATTGTATTAGGCCATTCCTATAGCTCTTACTGGTCGTGATATCATTGGTATTGCTAAAACAGGTTCTGGAAAAACTGCAGCCTATCTTTGGCCAGCACTAGTTCATATAATGGACCAGCCTGAATTGCAAGTTGGTGATGGACCAATTGCTTTGATATGTGCTCCTACTAGAGAGTTGTGCCAACAAATTTACACTGAAGCCAGAAGATTTGGTAAAGTCTACAATATCCACACAGTGGCTGTGTTTGGTGGTGGCAACAAGTATGAACAGTCAAAAGCTTTACAAGAAGGAGCTGAAATAGTTGTTGCTACCCCTGTAAGTTCCTGACTGAATGACATCAGTAACTTTTTTTATTAAGAGGGTAATTTATAATTAATGAATAATACTTTTTTGCAAAAAAACTGAATCCAAAACAAGCCTCAGATACTGCTTTGCAATGTATTGCAATGTACTAACCATTAGTTTCAAAGCTTGTGAATTTGTGTTGTACTGTGTAGAGCTCTCCATATAGTAAATTGACTATTGTTTCATTTCATTGGTCTTAAGGGAAGATTGATAGATCATGTAAAATCTAAAGCTACCAACTTGAGAAGAGTTACATTCCTTGTTTTTGATGAAGCAGACAGGATGTTTGATATGGGTTTTGGTAAGTATTAGACTAATAAAGCCAACACTTGATGTCCTCTTTGAGGTGTGTTTCCTCATCCCACTCACTACTGCTGCTGCAAAGTCAGAATTCAGGTTAACATTGATTGTTGTTGTTTTAAAAGAACCACAAGTGAGATCGATTGCAAATAATGTCAGACCAGACAGACAAAGTAAGTAGCGTGTGAATATAACCTTTAACCTGAAGATTGACCTTCTGTGAGGAAGAGTTGAAACCATATTAATTCTTGCTTTGCAGCATTGTTATTTAGTGCAACATTTAAGAAGAAAGTTGAGTACCTTTGTCGTGACACTTTGACTGACCCTATTAGAGTTGTAATAGGAGAGCTAGGGGAGGTATGTAACTATGACAGATCATGTTGGAGAATGTCATGAAAATGTTTGAATCATAAACAAAATAAAAAAATAAACTTATTTGATGGTGGTATTATTGTTCAATTTTAATTGACAGGCAAATGAAGATGTCACTCAAGTTGTGCAGATTTTCAATTTAGCACCTGAGAAGTGGACCTGGCTTACACAAAACTTAGTCTCATTCTCATCAGGTCAGTTTACAGTTTTGGGTAGAACCACTTTACTTAGATTACACAATTGTGTTTGTTTTTTTTTAGATGGAAGTGTTCTAATATTTGTAACCAAAAAAGTAAACAGTGAAGAACTAGCATCAAATTTAAAGAAGAATGACTTTGAAGGTGTGTACTGATAAAATTTCTTGAGTTCATGCTCATAGATTCATTCACATCTTTTTTTCAGTTGCGTTGTTACATGGTGACATGGATCAGTTTGAGCGAAATAAAGTTCTTAGTCAGTTCAGAAAGAAGGAATTTCCAATATTGGTAGCCACGGATGTCGCAGGTAAAAGTAGCCCAAACGGTTGTGTAAGCCACCGTGCAGGCTTCTTTAGTATGACGGGTTCAAAACTCTTGCAATAATTGATTCTTTGCAGCACGTGGACTTGATATTCCATCCATCAAAACAGTTATTAATTATGATGTAGCTCGTGACATCACAACACATACTCACAGAATAGGGCGTACCGGAAGAGCAGGTAAGAATATTTTTTTAATACGTAGTTGATGAATTTAGGAAATGGCTTATGCTGCATGATTGCATTTTAAACAGGAATGAAGGGTGTTGCATATACTTTGCTAACAGCGTCAGACCAAAACTTTGCAGGAGATCTCGTGCGAAATTTAGTAAGTCCATGAAGAATATATTTTTTAATTTATTGTTACTTGAAATTAAGGGTATTAAAGCCATATTAAAATTTTGTTTTTAGGAAATAGCSAACCAAATTGTTCCTGAACCTCTGATGGCCTTAGCAATGAAGGTAGTGCATAGTGGTTTTAAAAACCAAAGATTGAAATATGTAATAGTTCTTCATTGATTTTCATTTCTCTAGAACTCATGGTTTAAGAAATCTCGCTTTAAACATGGCTCAGGAAAGAGGGTGGACAGGGGGAGCAAGCCGCGTGTAAGAGAAAGACCTGGACTCGGTCTTCCTGACAAATCGGTACGTACAATAGTTTCATATTGGTTTAAATTTTATGAAGAAAAAATTATATTATCCACAATTTATTGCAGGAACAGAGTCAAACAACAAGTAATATTTYRTCACCATCAGGGGGTGTCTGGGGAAATAACTCCCAAGGTAATCGTACATCAACCATCAAAAATGCATTTAAGGTAYGTTATCAAATAGAGAAAGCTTCATTTTATCTTATTGCCATCAGATAGAAAAGACAAATCATGAGGCGTACTTTAATTTTGTTATCAATATAGGCGCAGTTTATGAATTCCTTTCGTGCAGCCTCATCATCATCTTCTACGTCATGGGATTCCAGTAAAGCAAGTGAACCAATGAGACCCCCTGAACCAGCAGTACCTCAGAAGAAAGTGAAGAAATCACGATGGGATACTGGGCACTAGATGAAGTTATTACATGTATAGAAGACATMTGTGGCACCCTCTCTTGTGAACTGGCCCTTTAGACAGGACGTATCTACTGTTACATATTGGTACATAGAGCTGGATATCATTAGTGTAGGGATCATATCACTACTAGCAAAAATGGCTACTTCACTCTTGTAATTAAGGCTTAGACAGGACATTTGTTGCATTTTTATCGTAATAAAAAGCAAAAATAGAAACTGAAACGTTTAGAAATACCTATTATTGATACTGTATATTCTAGAAWACAAGATGTTTTTGGAAATTTCGATTTTCCTCTCCACAACATAGTTTGGTATGGACTTAGACTCTCTTTGAACTTAAAATTGATAATAAGATTATAAATAGAATAAATGATTTATCGGGATTGTTTTAAAATAAGATCACGTGAATAAATTATTTATGGCGATTATTCATAAAATCACATGGTAATTTGCTCCTGGCAGTGAGKGACTGCCAGTGACATGGGCACTAAATTGACTGGTGGTCTGGCAAGAGTTTACAAACATTTATTACTGGTTTTGTTCGTCATGTGTAGACTTATTTAACCACATGAATTTTATCATGAAATTTACCTTTTTTGATGGGGATATATATTTTATTTCTCTCCCATATTCGGCATTTGATTACGTCATAAGGATGTTGTGACAAGGTCACATTTATATGGGAATCAAATTTCGACTCGCWGGCTGCAGCTACAGGTCTTGTGCAAAGACAGTGGTTTGGTTTCTTGCCTAAATTACATGTACGTAGTATGCTTTAATGTGTACTTTTTTCTTTTATATCAATGARCAGTAACCGTAATGATTTATACTCRATGATGGGTAGCTGCAGGGCACTTCGAAGGCCACAGGTCATCGGGATGTGTAACATATAYATTTATTCTCTCTAGTGTAGAAGAAATGGAAGAGAAAGAGCAACCTACACCAGAGAAAGAAGGTAAAATTTCCAGGTCAATAAAATGGCCATTCAGTAAAGTCAGTAAACGTCAGAGTATATAAACAAGAGCTTTCAGATATTTACGCCAGGCTACAGTATGTTGGGAAATGGTATACCGACCGCCTACTGCTGTATAGAAATTGTTTCGTTTATATTCAGCCCATGATATCTTGAATCCTTTCTTAGCTGATATTTACTTGCTCAAAGATTTTKTCATCAAAGTCCAAGCACGATTTCTTGCTCGTCATTCAGACGTCGATCTTTTGCCGCGTCTAATCTAATTGCCTACATTCAGTTCTCAAGAAGTTTGCAGTCTACATCGATTGACTTTTACGGATTATAGTAAGTTTGTCCAACTGAACAAAATCTAKCAATGTCAATAAATTCAGAGTTCAAAATGCTCATAAACTCAGCTCCACCAATTAGATTAGACGCGACAAAAGATCGACGTCTGAAACGGGCCTTTTAAAAGCTTTCATGCCCGGGTACTACAGAGATCTTACATAATACGGAAGTTCATCGGCACGTTTTGTGCACGTTGAGAACTGTATTTGATAGATATTTGATACTGATATTACAAATAWAACTGAAATTTAAACTAGTTTTTAGGCCAGACTTCATAGTGTATATAATTTTTTGGAAATTACGAACAAGCTCCAGAAGTCAAAATAAACCAATCAAAAAGTGCTTTTCAAAAGAAAACTTACGTAACAAGTTGATAGAACAACAGCTATGATTGGACCAAGATAGATGGCTATGGCGGACATCGACGAGATAAGATGAGCAAACAGGAAGCTGGCAAAAATGATGTAAGTATTGTGCTTTTCGTTATTTTACGTCGAATTATACATGTTGTAGTAAAGTACGCATTTGTTTAGTTATGAGTCACTTAAACACTGTCAGCTGTTTGTGCATGAAATAATCTGAAGCGGATGCAAAGTGTTCAAGAACCAAGCTTCTTAACTACCACGACTACCACCTTTGTTGTTAGCTTGTGGCTCAAAAATGTGAATATTGTCCATTCAAGTATTAATGTTAAGTCACCAAGCTTTTCCTTTAGCGTTTTTCCTGAAGTAACWTTAAATCAAGTTAGGAAAGTTAGAATAGACTAAGTTAAATAACATCTTAAGAAGCTAAAGATCGAAAATGTCGTGAGTAGAGTAGGAACCAAGCTTATTCTTTATAAGCTTAAGTATATATATCAATACAAATGTATTGTGGTGTAAATCAAGTGTATTGTGGTGCTTAACAGTGTTTTTAATGTGAAATTTCCACTGAATATTRTTATTCTTATCTTTTTCAGGATATTATGGACTGTTTAAACACGATAATGACATGTTTTATAATTCCTTGAATGGCTACACGATCAATAATGAGATAGAATATCTACCTATGGAAAATTTTACACGATTTGAAAACCTCAGTGATGATGATCAACGTATGTCTAACCTAATTTTCTGTGCCAAAGAAGTGGTGGAACATGTGCTGCAAATTGATAGTATCATTTATTTGTGTAGGCGGCGGGCTGAGTTTACTCATAAAACAACTGAGCAGGACTCATTTCCATCTGTATCTATACCAGCATCTGTACAAGAATCAGCATGCTTTCTGAAAGCCTATTTTACAATTTACAATTTTAATTTCTTTAGAAGAACAATATTTTTTTGTAAATTGTACTTAATTATAGTTCCCCATGCTCATACAGAAATGTAAACAAAATTCATTATGCCCATGAGTAGTTGAGGGGGAGTTAGGGGTACTAACACTAAGTTCTTTATCTTAGACACTCAATGTTGAAATTTATTCATTAAAGTACGAAGGGTAATGTTACTTTTCCCACACRACAAGCTGACAATACCTATGCAAATAYTTTATTACCATCAAAAAATCAAAATCACAAGCCCAGTTTAAGATTGTGGTTTGTGTCCATTCAGAATGAATATGCCTTCATTGTCCTAAAGTAAAGAATTTTTGCAGATGGATCATATCAAATGAGTGAAGAAATGAATGCAGTTAGCAGTGGYGATGAGCAAAATATCTCAACAGAAGAGAGAGAGGCTGTCTCAAGAGCCTCCACATACCTTGATGAAAAAGTTGGAATACCAAGATGGGAAGATGATGTGAGTACTAATGAGTCAATTTGAACAGTCWGTAAAAACCACTCTACCTTTTACATATGATATTTTATCACATTTAGGAAAACAGAATCAATTTCATTTTCACAGTCTTAATTCATACCAATAATTTTGTACCAATTAATGAATAMAATCCTAARTTTCCTACAAGTGCATTAGGTCTGCCACATAACTCSTCTGTCTCTAACTCCAAAAGAACTCCGACCAAAAGAATGTTAAATTCCAAAGTGTCATCAGTCTTTGTACCATAGCCAATAAATATACGTCTCAAACTCTTAACTCTAGGATTGCAAGCTTTAGGAAAATCTAGAATTCGAGATTTCAAGCCTTGCCTTTTGGGTAACCATTCCTAATCTCAAAATCATTCATTGTCT